TTGATGTAAGGAGAGCAAGTATGTCATGAAATTGTTGAGATAAAGCATATCCCAAAAAGCGACCACAAAGAAATTAGTGTGTTTAAAATAGAATAAACATACATAAGCAAAACAGTAAGCAAATTAAATACTTATTAATATGGACTCTTTCTTGTGGTCTTCTCTGATTTTTTTGTTGCTGTTCTTGTTGTCTGAAAGCCCAATAAAAATCAGGCCTCCCATAGAATTTTTGGGTGCTTTTACTGAAAGTACCTGAAAATTATTTTAATTAGAAATGGTTTTCTGGGAAACCACCCAAGATCTAGAAGAAGAGCTTACCTTTCAAGCACCAAGAATAAGCCTTAATGTTTAACTTTCCAGGAAGCTTTCTTTTTCTCCATGACCAGAGCCAACATCACTCCCAGGATTTGCTATGAGTCCCTTAGCATTTACTTTATTAAGACCTCATGCTTCCCTTTAAAAGGGGTAAGCAATTAAAATATATTCAAATGTGCACATAGACAACACTTGGTAACCTGCACCTGCAACCATGGGAAATGGAAATTAATTTGACAATCGGTATAATTAGACTGTTTAAGTTACAGATGCCAGAAATTTCACACAGTAGGTTCCATTCCTGGGCCTGCCTCTCTCACTAGATGTTAAGCTCATTGAGGGCAGAGATCATACAAAGATCACATCCTATGTACCAATTGCTTAGCACGATGTACATGGTGTACGCTAAAAATTCTTGGTGTAAACAACTGAGCAAGTCTGTAAATAAATGAAATTCTTCCACTCAACAGCTTACCACTTATCCGTATCCCAGCTAAAGGACTTGCATTTTGTCCTTCTCACCCACCCTCAATTGTCTTTCAGTAAAAATGTCAAAAATGATAGCTAATAAAGAGAACCAACTCCCTGGTTTTGGTGACTCCAAACAAAATAACCGTTCCTGAAATGAACTGTCTTTGAGCATTGATCCCTTCAACAAACTGGTAGATAAATCATACTGAGTAAATAATGTCACTTTTTATTAATTTAAAAACTGTATCTCTCCCCCACCGCCCCCGCCAGGCACTTCCTAGCCAACCCTTCTCAACCTCCCACAGCCCCAAGCCAGGCTTTGGAGCTTGAACGTCAGACCCCTGGAGTCTCTCCTGGGGAAGTGAAGGCTGAGCCAGGAGGATGCCTTCCCGAAGCTCCTGAACTTGGGCTGCTGACGCTGGGGCATTTCCTGACTCTAGAAGCCGCCTTAGCTCACGACGCCATGGGTTTGGGACCTGAATTGGTAATGTATTCATGGATTGGTGCAGCGGACTCACAGGGTGATACGTAAGAAAAGGAAGAGGAACACCGCCATCCAGCCAGACGATGGGAACTCCATCTCAGCAAATGGGGCCGATCCTAGTGAATGACGGTATCGTGTATGGAAGGAAGCCTGGGAGAAGTGATCTCTGGCCTTTTCTTCCCCTAAGTACAGAGGAAGGTCGTCTAAACTATTAATTATCAGGCTGAGTGTTTCTTGAGACAGCACAAGCCATGGGTTCTACAGGCCACAGGGGCAATCCCAGGTTCACACCATGCCAGGAGACACCCAACACTATGAAAACCATCACTAAGCCCAGAAAACATTCATCAGGATCCATAGCTAACAACTGACTAACAGTGCCACCATCCAGACTCCATGTTAAGTCTTTACGTACGATAGCTCACACCAGTCACTTTAACCCTACGGGGCAGAAAGTACTAGCCCTTCTCCCAGCAGAGGGAAATGGGGCTCACAGAGGTCAAGGAGCAACCACCTTCTGTGAAAGATGCACATGACAATCCAATTCTGGTGGATGTGATACAAAGCCCAGATGCACCTGGAACTTTCCAACTGCCAAAAAAGGTTCTCTAGAATAATTTCAGGTTGTGGAGCACCTTCCAAAATACTCCTCAGAGTAATTTCCTTTTAATAATTACAAGAGCCTTCCTTCAAGTCCCATCTAATACACGGTAAACTCCAGTAACCCCACAACCCAGAAGGGCTAAAATTAATAATAGACGGCCCATGCTCTTACAGCAAGAACTTCCTTTAAAACAGTCTAGGCGCAAGTCCTTTGGCTTCCCTGGGCTCCGTTTCCTCATCTATAAAATGGGCTGCTGAATCAGGAGCTGGTTACACCTTCCAGGTAGGTGTTGAGGCTCTCAGGCAGTGAGGTCAGCGCCCTGAAATCCGGGTGAAGGTCAGACAGTGAAACCTGATATCTTTCTAGGGCATGCACAAAGAAGTCTAGGAAAGATACCCAATTTCCCTTTAGAAACTCCAAAAATCACTCTTGCCAGAGTCAGTGATCTGGCCCTCTCAGTTGGGGCAATGCCGAGACACTATAAAAATATTTAAGCTATAATCCATAAACCGTTTTCCAAATCTGATTAAGTAATCTGGCTTCTCTGCTGGTTAGAGTTTGCCCAATGCTGGATTCTAGATTAAAGTTAAATTTAAAAGCAAGTATGAAAACATTAATTTTAATGTTTTAATAAAGATAAGAGTGTTTTCAACTTAAAGTAACTACTGTCACTTTCCTGTTTATGGCACTAGATTCTGAATTCAAAAAACAAAAATTTTCAGTCCCTGTGTATATTTTACAAAATAAATTTCACAGAAACAATGAAAAAAATGTTTATTTTTATAATTTCATCAGTCCAAACAGGAAATATACATCCATGCTAAGTGCTCTGTATGTCCTACTACCCAACCCCAAACTATTGACAGATCCCCCCCCCCAAATTTTACATTTTTTTGATGAGTGCTTCTTGGCCTACAATCTGCTGTGGATATGCAAGTGGATAAACAGACTTCTCTGGAAAAAGATGGAGAGACAGCTGGGCAGGAATATGGAACTTGCTGGACGGAAGCACAGGGTCAGCCACTTATTAGATCCCCCACTAGGTGGAGGCACCATGAGGCCAGGACTTCTAGGACTTGTGGTTTTGGATCTACAATGCTGAGCACACAGCAGGCTTTTAAAAAGCAACTGCAGAATGAATTAGTTGGTAAGTTTTCAGCAAAATCCTCAATTTTTGGGTGGGGAGTCCCCCTATCAATAGAATGAGGATAGTAAAACATGCCTACTTGAGTTTTCACAAGAGACCGGTGAATGCATTTGTAGAGAACAGAGCATTGTATCCGAGCTATCTTTCTCAATACTTCTATCCGGCACCCAGCATCCAGGTTATATGAGGTGCTCATTGAGTGCGTGCTAATAGATCACATTCCTCTCTAGTCAGCTGACCTTCTGCCTATCTAATGGTGTATTTATGGTTTTTAGAAATTTTATTTTCACATTGATGAAACCTCATTTCTATCCCCCTCTTGGTTTCCCATTATGCTATTTTTATGAGGCACTTCCCAAACCCGGTTCTACAAGCTGAACCGTAACACTGGAGGTGAGTATATCATGCTGATGGGATTCCTGACCCTCCATGAGTTCAGCCCGGTATCTATTGCTGGTCTTCCTGAACAGCACTGGGAGTTTCCCCACCCGTGTGCCTCCCTTTGGCAAGGACAATAAATGAAAAGGAGACAAGGAGCTGTATAATACACTTGGCATTCTGATGAATAAAAACTTATTGGGCATAAAGGTAAATACTGTCCTGGCTTTCTGTTCTTATCAATTTTAGCTTTTTAAAAAGTGCCTGAAATCCGGGAAAATGATTTATCTCACAAACTCATGTTTAACTTCTGTCAATGCAAGATTTGAGGCAAGCCCTCCTCCATTATTTGATTAACAGTTGTATTTGTTTGAAAAATATGTTCTACCCTCAGAAACCAGCCGCAAAGATCCTATCTAGTCCAAATCTGACTTAGTGATACCATAACAGAAACTTTATACGAGTAATTTCCTGTTGCATTCATGTCTATTCCTGAGCTTTGCTTAAAGATCTGGTAATTGTAACAACCCATGCCTGTATCAAATATCATGGCAGCCAGGACAAAGAAAACCAAGATGAAAAATGTGACATTGTTCCAATTGGCTTGACTTCCTTAGAAATAAGTCAAAGCCGAGATAGGTGCCAGCCTTGTGGCAAAGGCCAGGGCAATGTCAAAGGGAAACACTAGGCTGTGTAGCCAGCCCCTGCCCCCAACATCACAATCTCTCTCTCTCTCTCTCTCTCTTTTTACTTAAACACGTTCCACCGTTTGGTCATCTATAGATTCAACAATGTAATTTGGACACCGGGATGAAGAGAACAAGATTTGATTGCTGAAATAAAAAACCACATCACAGAACTGTCCACAGATGATTTTGGAAACCCAAAGATGACAAGATGAGGGACAGGAGAAAAGGACATAATTTTCAGGGTCCTCTGGGTTTCAGGGCGAATCTCTATCAAACCCGGGGCTGCAGGGATATTGCACGAGGCACTTCGCTACTGAGCACCGTTTCAGACTGGCCCGAGTAGACTGTATTGTCACCTTTTAACATATATGTATGTATTATATATAGTCAATGCTACACTGATTTCAAATACACATACATCTGCATGATACGGTAGCACTTGCGTGGCTGCGGGCCACGGAAAGATAAACCCACCTCCCCAAACCCAGACCCTCAGCCGAGGGGAGCGCCGCGGGGGTTCTGTTTTTGGGACTTTGGAAGTGCCACACGGAGCCGCGGTCCAGCTGCACGGACCGAAACGCCCTCCCTACCCCGGGCACCTATGTGGGCACGGCGACCGCTCCGCATCCTGCGCAGACCCAGGAACAAAATTAGTTAGAAATTCCCTAGGGGCAGAGTTTAGTGCCCGACGAGAACACGAGGACCGGTCCAGTTATTGCTAGGTCCCAACAATAGCGTTGGGTTTTAGAAAAACCGGACCGGCTCTCAAATAACTTTAACTCCCTGACATGGGTCTGTGGGTACCGTGCATGTGACAATAGAAAGGGCTCGGGATGGCTCCGCGACCCGCAGCATCCCCCAGGGCGCGGCGGGGACCTGGGTACCTGCGCACACAGAGGCGATAGCATTTACCTCGAGTCGACTTAGACTGGAGCTCTTGGAGCGCGACTTCTTGCGCAGGTACACGGAGAAGAACCTGCGCACGGTGAACTTCTTCATGCTCAGGTCCATCGCCCCGCGCCCAGCCGGGAGGAGCCGCAGGCCCGGAGGACGCGCATTCCCGGCGCATCCCAGGCGCGCGGGGTCAGGTCCGAGGGCGGGTGCGCGCCGCCGGGGAGCCCGCC